CGCCCTTCCCGGCCCCAAGCCCCCTGCTCTCACCCCCTTCCCGCATACCCCAGCCCCATTCCCACCCTCCTGCTCCAGCGTGGCCTCCCTTCTCCCAGCCCATTCTCCTTCTCCAGCTCAGGAGTTTTCACATCATCCCCCGGCAGAAGGAATGTCTTCCCCCACCCCATCCCCAGCCGCCCGGGAGCGGAGCTCCCCTCTGACCGGCTCTCCCCTCCCGGGATCCCCCGGCTCCCCAGGCACCCCCATCCCCGCCCGGGATGCCCTTCCCCAGCGCCGGGAGAAGTGGGACTTTGTACTCACCCCCTGCCTGCTGCTGTAGCTCTGAGTCTGGAGACCGGCTCTGATTCCGGCTCCATCACGTTTAGTGCATTGTCTCTTTCGGGCAATTTTTGCAGCAATCCATCAGAAAAAGGGGGACAGGCCGGTTTGTGGGTACATCCTTCCCAGGAGCTCAGCTCTCTGTCTCTCTAAGGGGCTCAGCTGTGTCAAAGACACCCCCTGGCCCGGACGGCTCACTCCTTCCTCCTTCTCTTCTGGGTCCTTTTGCTTACACAGATCTTTTAATCCCATTTAACTCCCTCTCGGCAGACTGCAATTACCTTGGGAAAAAGGAGAGAGAACAGAAAGTACACGCTAGGAAGCCAGGCTGGCCCATGGTCGCTGGATTTCTTGCCTCTTTTTTTTTCCTCCTCCTTATTAATAGTACAATTTCTGTGATCTCTGATTTCCAAAGTCCTTGATTTAAAGTGTTTTTTTTTTTTTCTTAGCTGTTACTTTTTTTGTTGTTGTTTGGTTGGTGGTTGTAATTATTTTTATTTGCAGTGCAGATGTGCCTCCCACCCCCCCAAGGATCTCTCCTCTGGACTTAGAGAGAAGAGGAAAAGGCAGATTTTGAGAAATGAAAATTATTTAAGGATGTCCCTGCTGCCTCTCTCTGCTGCCCTCCTCTGTAATACCAAAGCACTTACAAAAAAATAATACAAAATAAATAAATAATAATAAAAAAGGAAACTCTTTTGGCCAGAAGAGCTGCCGAGAAGCAATCGGAGACCCCTTCCAGGCTCTGTGGAGGAAATGCAGAGGCCCCTGGTCTGGGGGGAGGGGGGCGATAATGGAGATCACTGCTGGTCTGCACTCACCTGCCGGGGGGCTGCGAGCCCTCTGCCCAAACGGGCTTTGACCCACCCCAACACGGATAATAAAAAAGGAAACTCTTTTGGCCAGAAGAGCTGCCGAGAAGCAATCGGAGACCCCTTCCAGGCTCTGTGGAGGAAATGCAGAGGCCCCTGGTCTGGGGGGAGGGGGGCGATAATGGAGATCACTGCTGGTCTGCACTCACCTGCCGGGGGGCTGCGAGCCCTCTGCCCAAACGGGCTTTGACCCACCCCAACACGGACTGGCGAAGGACCTGCGTTATGAGGTACCCAACATGGCTTTTCAGGGGCTCAGCAGTTGGCGCTTGTGGAAGGGGCTTGCAGGAGGAAAGCTCCCCTTGTTCCTGCTCCCCTCCTCGTCCTGCCCTGCTTCTTCAGGAAGGGGAGACAGGGGACTGGGTGGGGGGCATCTCCAGACCCCCCCTCTCCCCCTACCACCAAGTGATGGAAGCTGGACCCCAGGAGGGCAGGGAGAAGGGAATGAGTTTTCTTACGCAAGGTCCATCAGAGTAAATCAGACCCCAAGCTCCCTCCGCCAGCCCTGCCAGGAGAGGGGACCTTTGCATGTGGATAAAACCTACAGCCCTGTGCCCCCTCCTCTTCCACAAAGTCCCACCAAGCTGGACCCAGCCACTGTGCATGCTCCAGGGTGACCAGCAGGTCCCTGTTGTCCACACCAGGACACAGGAAACCCCTGAGCTCTATGAGATTCCCTCAGGCAGGTGAGCGCATCCCACCAGACCGAGCCCTCCCACCTCCTGCCCTACTCCCTTCCCCCTTGCACAGCATCTCTGCCTTGGGCACTTACTTTGCAGCGAGGTGAGAGGCTGTGCACCGTCTCCTCACAGCCCCACGTTCATCTGCATTCATTTGTCCCAGCAGCTTATGGCAATTTCTACTTCTTTTAAAATAATAATAAAGGCAAAAACAGCAAAAAAGCACCTCAAATCAAGCCCCTTCCTCCCTCCTTCCCCTTCAGTCTCAAGGTGTCTCCTGTGCTGGGAGCCAGCGAGTGTCTGCCAGGCTGACGGGCCCTGAGTGAGCCAAGGCTTCCTGGCAAGGCTGAGGTTCCCCCAAATTCAACAGATAATCCTTCCCCAGGACTGATGCGGGCAGGTCTCCCTCGGGCTGTCGCTCCACTCGTTGGTCATTGATGCTGCAGGGATCCAAGAGAGAAGAGAAGTTGGGACCGGGTGCTGGGAGGGACATGGATGTGAAGGATGTGGAAATTCTAAGGCTGCCCTTGTCCTTTTAAATAGCTGCAGCCAGGGGACTCTCCTGGCTGGGGTGCCCCAGGTATCCGGTTTCAGCAAACAGCAGCTAATGAGCAGAGATCCAGCCTCCTCCGATGGGCAGGTTCAGGGCTGCTCTGCAGGCATGGGGAGCAGGGGGGCAACCCGGGCACCCACCAGCAAGGGATGGAGCAGGGATGAAGCTGGGGCAGAGAGGGGAGAGCTGAGGGTAAAGAGCTACACGGTCACTGCTGCTCTAGGGTGGAGGGCATGGCTGTAAAGTCTACAGGGCTCCTTGGGTTGCAAGGTCTACAGAGCAAAGGACAGGTCCTGTGAGGTGCTAAGCATCCAACACAGGTCTGGGCATCAAAGCTGAGCTATCCCAGGGTCTCACTCCACACAGGTAAGGGCTGCATCATCCCTCGAAACAGGGTGAAAGACCAAGCAGAATTAAAGCACCTCAAACCTGGACATGGACACTAAACTTAGACACTCTCCATGAAACAAATACAGCCACAAACAGATCAGCATCTACCCACTGAGTACCTGAACTTGAAACTAGAGGGGAATGATGTTACACGCAGAGCAGAAAATTCGAGGTCCGACTGGCCTGACTCAGCAATGCAGGTTTTACTCAAAAAACTGACCTCAGAATGTGGCCAAAAATTAAGGTTTCCACCATAAATCAGGTCTCCCATATACATGATGTCTTCTGTCACCACGCGTGCTGAAGACTCCTCTCCTTTAATACATATATTTGACTTAGTTGTGGTTGCTTGCTGGGACTGTGGTTTTGCATCTAATTTCTACAGGGATAAGATTTTATTCATACCTTTGCTCTGAAGCATCTGCATGTTGCTTCCTTCCTTGCTAGAATAGATGAAGCTTTAAGTAACAATATAAAAAAAAATTTTGAAAGTTTTGTGACTGGGGTAGATAACTGACAGCCTCACAGTCCGCTGTCCTCAAGAAAATCTTTTGAGAGGAGTGAAGGCAAGTTACACATCCAGACACTTGTACAAAGCTCATATACACAGACAAACCTGTCTCAAAACCCTCTGAAGGCCCAGGAGCTCAGACAACCCATCCAGACCAACTTTGAGGGTTGGGACTTTAGGGACAAAAGGTGGTCACACAGCTTGTCAGAAATCACATAAAATCTCTATTTTTCTTAGCTATTTTTTTTCCCCAGCTGGTTTTTTCCACGTTTTTTAGTCACACATTCCTCATTGAGAAACACATTCTAGCTTAAGTATTTAAGATAAAGCTTAAATCTATTAAAAAAATACTTTGCAAGGAAGCGTGGGGAAATTCCTGTGCTGTTGAATATACCTTGTATCCTCCCTCTCTTTCCCACCTTTTCTCTTTTCCAAAAGCAGCGAGTATTTAGTAACCTTTTTCCCCCTCAAAATCTCCACACCACCCAGAAAAGAACAAGGCCTAGCTTCCCAGAATGAGGGACAGAAAAGAAAGCAAAAAGATGTGCTGCATCTTTTTGCAAAGAGGTACACAAATAGGATGTGTATGGGTAGCTGGGAAGGACTGGCAAAGCTTCAGGTCCACAGCACTGCACCAAGGACCACCGTAAAACACACTTAGAGACTCATCCTCAAGTATTTCGCACATGCTTAACTTCGCTCAGATGAATGCTTTCAAACCAAACACATGCATAAAAGCTTTGCTAGCATAGAGATATAAATGTAGCTCAGCAGTAGGAAAAAGGGAATTAGTTTAAAACAAAAGGAAACCCAACATTGCTAAAGCCAAGACTAGTGCCAAGTGAGTTCAGGTTCAAAAATTAGACCTCATTCTTCAAAAAGAGAAAAGCCACAACATATGATCTGAATAGAAATATATTTAGCAGATTTATTTTCTTTTCCTTCCCTTCTAAATTTAAATAGAAGCCATTTTAAAACACTAAAACTGAAGTAAATCATCATGGTACAGGAGAAAAAAAAAAAAAAAAAGGAATTGGAGTTGGCTGTTGTAGTTTAATTAGCCAAAAAAGAAAAATACAGAGGAGGAGGAAATGCCACCACACACCACACAACATCGGGAAAGGGAACAGAACACTCGCTTTTGACAAAACGCACCTCTCCAAAAAAGCACCATGTCATTACTGCCTGAATAAATACAGCATTTAAAACATTCAGCCATATTTAACCAGTTTCCAGAAGAATCAGTACCCACCTCTCCTCAGCATCCCTAGCTTGGTTAAGTATCAAGGCTCTTATTAATATAATTTTGTCTCTTTGCTCCTCTTGGAAAACCAAGCGTGAAGGCATCTAGGAGCCATGGCGAGCACACACTACAGCTGCGCTACATGACTCACAGTGCCCGGCTTCAAGGACCAGAGGAATCCCAGACACTAACCCAGGCTTGCCCTCCCAGTTTGGCTTGGCCTGAAGGACAACACTAAATTACAGTTCAATCATTTTTACCTTTACACAGTCAGAAAAGTATCCTCAATCACTCACTGCCTCCAGAACTCACAAGGAATTATAGGGACAAGTTTGGTTATATTTAGATAAATACCCTATTCAGGTTTAAAACTGTGGCACGACCAGGCAGAAGGCACAGGCAGCGTGAAACCCAAGGCACCAGAAAAACTTGTGGGAGGGATCAAACAAACATGTGAAGGAGAGGTTGGATAAAGAGCCTTTCAACTCCCCTCTGGGCTGAGGATCAGCACCCAGCCCTGATCGGGAATATCTAAACTTGGTACCTGGGTCAGAGTTGCTGGAGCCACAGGGAAAAGGGACCCACCCTGTGGGAACTGCCATGAAGGGGTGACAGTCCCTGCAGTCGTGGGAGGACACAGCTATGCAGCCATGTGGCATGGCCCAGGAACTCATATCACATGGAGCACGGCTACTGGGGAGGCCTGGATCCACACCTGTAAACCCAGCAGGAACAGAAGATCAACCATTCATGGAAATGGGAGTCATCCCCCAGCCCATGCACAGTCATGGTAATCCAGGCACTGGCATGGGTGGGACTGGCTGTGTCAGTCTCCAACTTCTGAGGACATCTTCTTGAGAGCTGGCCTAGCACCTGTGCTGCAAATGTCAGCAGCTTTGGCAGCAAGAAGCCCCTGGAGAGCTGGAGGCAGGGGAAGTGGTACTGATCCCTGGCTGCTGGGGGAGCACTGAAACATTTACACCAAAGTGACCATTTCTACCCCTTCTTGCTCCCTTTGAGAGCAGCCCAGCCCCTCTGGTCTTACATGCTCCATACTTGCTGCGATGCTCTCCCAGGTATGTAATTCCCTGCACAGGATTTCCCCATCCCTACATGACTTTTCTGTTCAGATCCTGTATTTAACATGACCATACCAGCACTTCTCACACTCATGAGCTCTATTTGAATGACTGGCACTTGTTCAAGCCCTAGACTAAAGTCTTCCCTACCCTGTAGGGACCTGGTCATGAGCAGAAACCTACTGATGAACTTCATTTGTCTGTTGCTAAGTCTCTCCACCCA